TGCAGAATACGGTGAAACAGCTGAAGTGGCATTTTAGATGCACAGTCAAGTGTTTTCTGTGTATTGAGTAATGTATTAAGCTTTAAATTACATTTTTAAGTGGAAATTAAAAAACTCCCACAGCTGATTTGTTCACACCAAGCTGCTTACCTATTGCCGATTCAGTCTTCCCAGCCTGGTGCAGGTCTACAATTTTGTTTCTGGTGTCCTTTGACAGCTCTTTGGTCTTGGCCATGGTGGAGTTTGGAGTGTGACTGTTTGAGGTTGTGGACAGGTGTCTTTTATACTGATAACGAGTTCAAACAGATGCCATTAATACAGGTAACCAGTGGAGGACAGAGGAGCCTCTCTCATCTTTTTAAGTGGGAGAACTTGCACAATTGGTGGCTGACTAAATACTTTTTTGCCCCACTGTATACAGTATATATATATATACACAAAAATACATAATACATTATTTAGGATTCTTTGATAAATAAAAGTTTAAAAGAAATATTTTCTAACAATGTAAGTATTTACTATTATATATTTTTTTTATCAATATAACACATTCCTGCTGAATAAAAGTGTTTTTTTTTTAAAAGAAAGAAAAACTGCACTGACCCTGGTAGTGTATAACATTACAAAATATTTCTATTTTAAATAAACACTGTTCTTTTAAACTTGATTTTCATCAAAGAATCCTCAAAATCACAGGTTCCAAAAAAAAAAATTAAGCAGCAAAAACCTTTTCCAACATTGAGCAGCATATTATACTGATTTCTGAAGATCATGAGATGCTGAAGACTGGAGGAATGATGCTGAAAATACAGCAGTGACGGCAGTGTGAACACACACACACACATTATATATATATATGCCTTGTTATACTGAGCTGATTTTATATATGTGTGTAAATATACAAATATGAAATACTTTTAAATATGAACGTAAACCGCCAGCAGGTGGCAGCAAGGGACTATCTTATTGAGTGAGTCATTGAGTCATTCATTCAAACGATTTGTTCATTCAAGATTGAACCAAGTGCCTGTCTTTATGAATGGGTTAATGAATCATTGATTCGTTCGATACACTGAATCATTCGGTAACGAAACACCGCTTGTGTTGCTCAGACATGCTGTGGTAAACCACACTCTTATATAATATGTTATAAATGTAAAAACACATGTTTACTGCAGTATGTTTCTTCTGTGTGCAGTTGCGTTCATTTGTTTGAGTTTCTTTCACACAGCTTGACCTTGTCACTGTCAGTACATTATCCACTATATATTGCCGTTTGCTCCAAATGTAATAAAATCAGAATCATTCTTGCTGAAATTGTGGTGATTCCCTAATTAGATATTTTAATCACGTTTATTGTCCAGTCGGGCAACAATATATATATATATATATATACACAAAAATACATAATACATTATTTAGGATTCTTTGATGAATAAAAGTTTAAAATAAATATTTTCTAACAATGTAAGTATTTACTATTACTTTTTTTTTTTATCAATATAACATTCCTGCTGAATAAAAGGTTTTTTATTTTTTTAAAAAGAAAGAAAAACTGCACTGACCCTGGTAGCGTATATTACAAAATATTTATATTTTAAATAAACACTGTTCTTTTAAACTTTTTTTTTCATCAAAGAATCCTCAAAATCACAGGTTCCAAAAAAAAAATGAAGCAGCAAAAACCTTTTCCAACATTGATCAGCATATTATACTGATTTCTGAAGATCATGTGACACTGAAGACTGGAGGAATGATGCTGAAAATACAGCTGCACATCACAGAAATACATTACAGCTTAACAGATATTCTCATAGAAAACAGCTGTTTTACACTGTAATAATATTTTACAATATGATGGGGTTTTTTTTGTGTGTGTGTGTGTTTTTTATCAAATAAATTCAGCCTTGATGAGCAGAAGAGACTTCTTTAAAAAACATTTATAAATCTTACTGATCCCAAACTTTGGAACGGCAGTGTGAACACACACACACACACACATTATATATATATGCCTTGTTATACTGAGCTGATTTTATATATGTGTGTGTGTGTGTATATATATATATACATATACACACACACACACATATAAAAAAAAGCTCAGTATAACAAGGCAGTGGAAAGTCCCCAGGAGGATGTGAAACCATGTGTGTGGTTGAGTTCTAATTTGAGACTGATTTTGTGCTAATAGAAGAATGTGGGAGTTTTAGAGGTTAAAGATCATTGGGCTCTGTTACAGCAAACACAAATAAACCGAGAGAGAGAGAGAGAGAGAGAGAGAGCAGGGTCAGAGGACCACGCTCTGATTTCATGTGTTCATGTTTGGTCCCTCTGCTGTCTGGAGGAGAAGCAAACGTATCATCAGCCGCTCACAGCTCAACTTCCTGCTGCTGATTCATTCTGCAGCCCGAGGCTGTGGGTTTTTCCAGAGTTTGGGAGCGTATGGAGAATCACTGCTTGAAGTGGAGGAGGACGAGCGAGGAGGGGGAGGAGAGAGAGACTGTGTGTGTGTGTGTGTGTGTGTGTGTGTGAGTATGTGTGTGAGTGTGTGCATGTGTGTGTGTGTGTGTGTGTGTGTGAGTGTGAGTATGTGTGTTTGAGTGCGTGAGCGCGAGTGAGTGAGTGTGTGAGTGTGAGAGTGAGTGAGTGTGTGTGCGTGTGCAAGTGAGAGAGTGAGTGTGTGAGTGTAAGTGCGTGCGTGCGTGCGTGTGTGTGTTTAAGCATGCTAGATTAATCATGCCAGTGAAACACTAACAGAGAGAGAGAGTTTTAATGTAGAGCATGTCAGATGTGAATGAACATGTTGATCTTCAGCTCAGGCTCCTGAGGATCTTCATTTCAGTGAAGGTCAGTTTAAACACATCTCCAGCGCTCGTGTGTTCTGGGTGGTTTCTAGATGCTTTCTGGGACATTTAGTGGTTTAGCACATTATTATGGGGGGAATGAATGACATATACACTATAAAATGCAAATCTGTAACTAAAACTACTTTGATTTCAAAATGTGTTACTTGACATTTCTTTGTAATTACTTGTGACATTTACTAGCACTTTGAGTGAAAATGGTTTTAAGTCCTGCACCACATTTTTTTCAGTGTATACTAAATATTTGTGACCCTGCAGCACAAAAGCAGTGTTGAGTCGCTGGGGGATATTTGTAGCAATAGCCAACAATACATTGTATGGGTCACAATTATACATTTCTCTTTTATGACAAAAATCATTAGGATATTAAGTAAAGATCCTGTTCCATGAAGATATTTTGTACATTTCTTACCATAAATATATCAAAACTTAATTTTTGATTAGTAATATGCATTGCTAAGATTTTCTCAATATTTAGATTTTTTTGCACCCTCAGATTCCAGATTTTCAAATAGTTGTATCTCAGCCAAATATTGTCCTCTCCTAACAAACCATACATCAATGGAAAGCTCATTTATTCATATGATGTATAAATCTCAATAAAAAAAAATTTACCCTCATGGTTTTGTGCTCCAGGGTCACATATATACTATACAGTAAATTTCAATTGCTTGTACTTTTGCAACATTTAACAATATTATTGTTCAGCAAACAATAAATCTGATAAATGTGATCACAAGGCATGAAAATATTAAGAACAAATTACATCATGGTATTCTGATCAAAAGCACTAGAAATAGAATTGATCTGATTGACTGGATTGTTTATTATGGATGGTTGCTAGGGTGTTCTGGTGGTTGCTAGGGTGTTGCTGAATTGGGTAGCTGGTGCATGGTTGGTGGAGGATTCCATGATTCTTTACAGTGGAAACATGTTTTTTAGATGTTCTTCAGACTGAGAAATATTGTTCTTTCAAGAATTCCTGAAAGGTTCTCAAACCACGGCTTTGACCTGTGGATTCAGCATCTGTGAGATGAACGAGCAAACGCTGCTTTAAAACACCAGGAGGGAGGCGAGAGAGAGAGAATAAAGCGTGCTCCCGAGGAAACTCCTCCTAATGTAAGAGAGACAGAAGGAGCTCGAGGACGCAGTGGTGAGTCTCAGCTTTACATTTCTTCTGGATTCCTCAAGTCTTTGCGTGAGAGCTTCAGTCAGACAGCAGCTTGGCTGCACGAGTCAGGCGAGGTTTTTCATGTCACTGATTTGGACAGAGATATAGAACTGTGTGAGGATTGTTCGATGAGCCTGATAACTTGTGTGAGGACGTGGCTCTTGTGCTCTCTCTCTCTCTCATCTGGTTTTCATAAGTACAGCTGCTGTGTCTCAATGAATCATTCATGTTTGCTGCCTGCAAAGAAAGCCTAATTAAAATGAGAAGCGTGCAGGATAAAGTGAGATAAAGAGATGATGCTGCAGAGACTTCTAAGAGGGAATATTAATAATGTGTTGTTGAACTTACTCTGAAGAACAGAAAGAAAGAAAGAAAGAAAGAAAGCAAGCAGCTCTTTTCCACATGTGATCGAGCCATAGATGATGAGATCCATAAATGTCATTTTTTTATAACAGTTTTTAATCCTTGTTCTTGTTTGGGAGATTTTATATTTCTGACACACACATTTAACCTCAGGCTCCTGCTGCATGATGGGAACGTCTCTCATATGGTTGTTATATGACAGGGTGGTTTATATTTTTAAAGGGATCATTAATCCAGTATTTTATGGATGCTAAGATCGCTCTGGATCACACAATGTTAAATGTGTCTGATGCGATGATCAGATCGGGTGTGAACACAGCTTGAACTGAATTAAGATGAATGATGCACTCTCATCTTCTGAATTAACACTGGTATTGAACTAAACTGAATCAATATTGAACCGATTCAAACTGAATAACATGATGACATTGCTGTGTTTTGTAGAACTGCTTATAGCTGAATTGAACTTGTTTGATGAACTTCACACTTGATCTGAACTGAACTCACATTGTTGTCTTTAGCTGTTTTACAGCACAATCGGAATCGTCTCCATCACCGCTTCTGTTATTTTCCTGTTCGTCACTAGCAAATTTTGGGATATTGCTTAAAAAAACGTTTAACGGGAATGCCAAGATATGCATAAAATCTTCAAATGCACATAAAAAGCTTATGCATTCAATTGAGGCCGATACATTTTGGCATGGAAACAAAGCTTTATTTGCAATATTTTATTTTCCCGCACAAGTAAATGTACAACTTTTTAACATAGCTACTGTGAAGCTTTGACAATCTGTATTGCATGAAGCGCTTTAGAAATAAAGGCAGCATGATGCTAGAAACAAGCGATTCAGAGGGACCGTCTCCAGACAAGTTTATTTGTATAGCACTTTTCACGGTACACATCATAGCAAAGCAGTTTTACAGAAAATATAAGTCTCTATTTTAAAGTTTCTACATTATATTTAGTAGTAGCTTATCAGAGGTGACTATGTCAGGTTGATGTTCATATGGCAGAAATGTACGGTAAAATTCATGCAGTTAATGATGTAATCAAACAGACGGTGGACACTATTAACTGCAATCATTATTTGTTGCGATTAAACTTATAGCAAAATGTGTTAGTTTTGTATGTTGTCTGAGGGTCGACATCATCTCTTCTCAGGTGTTCGGTCATCTCAGGTCTTTTTTAAGAGTTGGATCCAGACTCGGGATGCCAATCCTGTGGCAGAAACAGAAGCAAAAGAGCAATAATGTGCATTTGATCAGATGTAACTAGAGTACAAGGTTATGAGATACATTTTCAAAACTTTGCCTCTTTTTTTTTTTTTTTTACTTTACACACAAGTCCAAGAATTGCACACACAAAATGCAAGATGCCTCGCATGATCTCTTGCAAAATGAAGCACTGCATTCAAAATATCACAAACGCATCTCAAAAGCAAACATTTGCGAACACCTTAATTCCTGTTAGATTTCCGTGTGTTACATAGAGAACTGTGTGTCGTGTTTTGCAAAAAGTGTTTTATGAAATTGTCAAAGGCTGAGCATTAGTGTATGGTTTTGCAGATTTGGTGTGTGCTTCTGCTGTTTGAGTGTCAGCTTTCAGAGACTGTGTGACAAGTAAAGATTTTGTGTGTATGCAGTTGAAAACTGTGCTCCTGGTCTGCAGGTGTCGTGATGTTGGCTGTGTTTCTGCTGCTGCTGGCCTCCGTGGCATCCGTCCCCTCTCCCTCCAGACCCACGCCCAGGTACTGCCGCAGGTGCTGCGATCACCTAGACCCGCCCCTGAGCCCCGCCCCCCAGCCTGCAGCCAATCACACGCCGGAGATCCGCACCATCATTAACATGACCATCCTCAAAGGTGAGACGGAGCTGGACGCTGACACTTAGGCTGTGTCCGAAATCACACACTCTCTGAGTAGGTACTTCTTTTGAATGTGACTATTTCTCTGGTGACCCAACAACACTCTACCAAAGCTTATTGTTCTCGGTCAACATTAAAATGTGTGAATAATGTTATAGATATTGAAGTTTAGGGTGTCCGTGTTTCATCGGTGTAATTTGACTAGATTCTACAAAGTGGCAGATAAGTTATTAGGCTACCATAATACTGTAGAGTTTGATGGACACACAAACTCTGACATACAGATACAAGAAGCGTTTTCTCCAGAGTCTATTTTGCTGTTGCAGTTATACACAATTATATGTTTGGTTGCAGTTTTAGCATTGTTTTTTCATCGCTGTGTCCAAGTTTTGTTCAGAACTGCAGCTCTCTAGAGGAACAAACGAAGAAGCCAAAAGAGAAAAACATGACTTTTGTTGACTTGTTCTTTGGTAATGCTCACTCTTCACCCGCAGTGGACAGATTGTTAGTGCTCACATCCATTTCAGTTCAGAGAGATTCCTGAAACTGACCACAAGAGGCCTTGCCATTGGACGCTGTGAAGTCATGTGACCACCGTTTATTTCCTTTGAGCTGTATAAGGGGTAATTTTGCTGGTGGTGAGTAACATCTGTCGACGGGCAGAAACCACTGCTCACTGGAAAGCGTTTTGGTCTGCAACTAGTCTAAAAGACCAAATACAGACAAAATCAGAAACTAGATTTTCACTTTCTGATGGAAATGTGAGTGGTGCTTAATAGCGAAATGTGCACTTTGTTGTCCAGCCCGTGAAAATCATGCGTCCGATCATTTAGGAAAGCAACAGGGGTTTGATGACATCACTGACTTAGTTAACAGCACTAGTTACTGACACGTCACGTACAGAATAAACCACTTTCTGTTTGACTCTTTGCTGGAGCTCCAAGTTTGAAGTTTCTAGAATTTTTCAGTGACTGTAAAGATTGAATCAAAAGCGCACAATCGTTACCACAGATATTTCACGATGATTGAGGTTAGAGGATCTGGTTCAGGACATTAATAATTATAACTAACCCTAAAGGCTGGAAATTCATCGAAACACTCATCTTCTGCAATCTTTGTGCTAATGACACTGTGTGCTTTAGATTCAAGGTCATTTTGAGTCTGATTGAGAAAACAGACGGATTCAAACATTTACATGATTTTTCACATTGATTGGATTATTTCAAGTCTACACCAGCCCTTTCAATTTGATTGAAATTTAATCGGTGTCAGCATCAGGAGCTAACATCACCTATAGAGCTAACATGGCTGAAGACTGTTCGGAGCATTAGTGAACCAAAAATACCAAAACCAAAAACATCCACAATGGTATTGAGCCAAAATTGACTGATGTGAGAGATTAGAGGAAAAACCTCTCAGAATCACAGTATAATTCTGATCCCAACCAGAAGAAGATGTAAAAAGCAAACACTTACTGGTGTACTCACTTCGCCTGCTTGACTTCTAAAACTGATTACCAGTGTTAGGTATTATGCATTACAATATTGTGTTACTCCATAAAAAGTAGCCAGTGTCGGCATTACTTTTTAATTTACAAGAGAATATCTGAGTTACTTTTAACGCAAGTTACTTTTTTTCCCCCCAATGTATTGATTGACAGCTCTGGTGTCGCCATGTCGAGAGAAATCAGAAGATGTTACTGTAGCTCTAAAATAAATATGAATATGCATTAATTCATCTCACTCACACAAACAAAACACAGGTTCAGTATTCCTCAAAATGAATAAAAATAATGCAACTCAGAATATGACGCAAACCTGCAATAATTACATTTTAAACAACACAAATATCCTTTATGTATTTAATCCCATTCTATTTGCTTCTGACCTTCGATGATCCAGTTCAGCCGTACTAATAAGCACAAATTACTCTAGACGAACATTTGTGTGTCTTTTTTTTATTGCTGAAGTGTATTAAATGTCTTCTGCGTTCTACTGTACTTTCCTTTCAGCCTGAGGCTTATTCATTTCACTTTTGGTGTGAAAAGGCTCTTATATTTGCCAAAAATATAACTTTTTTTATTTTAAAAACAAACAAGCAAGCCCTGTCCAGATTTAAAAAGTAACGCAATGCATTACTTTCCATAAAAAGTAACTGAGTAACCCAATGAGTTACTTTTTTATGGATTAATGCAATATTGTAATGAATTACTTTTCACAGTAACTTTCCCCAGCACTGTAAGTAAGTCATTGGGTTACTCAGTTACTGTTTATGGAAAGTAATGCATTGCGTTACACTCTTAAAACTAAAGGTGCTTCACAGTGATGCCTTAGAAGAACCTTTTTTGTCTAAATGGTTGCATAAAGAGCCTTTAACATCTGAAGAACCTTTCTGTTTCACAAAAGCTTCTTTGTGGCGAAAGAAGGTTCTTCAGGTTATAAAAAGCTAAGAAAGAGACGGTTCTTTGACTGAATGGTTCTTCTATGGCATCGCTGTGAAGAACCTTTTAAGCACCTTTATTTCTAAGAGTGTTACTTTTTGTCACCTGAGCTGGGATTGCTTATTTGTTTTTAATAACAAAAACCCCAAAGGTTATATTTTTGGCAACTGTAAAGGCCCTTTCACACCAAAAGTGAAATGAATAATCTTTAGGCTGCAGAAAACGCCTCTGCACTGATTTCTCTCAACACGGCGGCAGGAGAGCTGTCAGTGAAGACATGGGAAAACAAAGGAACTGGCTTTACTTGTTTGAAAAAAATAACTCTGATATTTTCTTGTAAATGTAAAAGTAATGCTTTACTTTACTAGTTACTTGATAAAAGTAGTCTGATTACATAACTCACACTACTTGTAATGCATTACCCCCAACACTGCTGATCACACACTGACTTAGATCACTGGCTGATTGTTGACAGGGGAAAAAGGAGAGCGTGGGGACAGAGGGACGCCTGGCAAAGCCGGAGTGGACGGACCCCCTGGACTCAGAGGTGTGACGGGGCCCAAAGGCAATAAAGGAGACACAGGGGCCCCCGGAGACCCCTGCAAAATCCAGCAGTCGTCCTTCTCCGTGGGCCGACGCAAAGCTCTGCACAGCGCCGATTACTACCAGGCCCTGATCTTCGACACCGTCTTCGTGAACTTGGGCGAACACTTCAACATGTTTAAGGGGAAGTTCTACTGCTTCGTCCCGGGAGTCTATTTCTTCAACGTCAACATTCACACCTGGAACTTCAAGGAGACGTACCTGCACCTGATGCACAACGAGCGGCAGCAGGTGATCCTGTACACGCAGCCCAGCGACCGCTCCATCATGCAGAGCCAGAGCGTCATGCTGTCTCTGGAGCTCAACGACGAGGTCTGGGTCCGGCTCTACAAGCGCCAGCGAGACAACGCCATTTACAGCGACGACGTGGACGTCTACATCACCTTCAACGGACACCTGGTGGCTCCTAAAGTCTAGGAGGAGGGACCGCTGTATTTGCACGAGTGTGTAGAGGAACAGCCACACTGCAAAAAAAGGCGTATCTTAGTATTTTTGTCTTTTTTCTAGTCAAAATATCAAAAATGTCTTAAATTAAGATGCATTTACTTTGTAAACAACACAAGATATTTAGCCTTGTTTATAGGGGAAAAAATAAACTAAACGAAGTGCATTTTGCTTAAAACAAGTCATAGGGTAAGTAAAATATTCTTAAAACAAGAATTTTACTTACCCCACACTCTTAGAAATAAAGGTGCTTAAAAGGTTCTTCACAGCGATGCCATAGAAGAACCATTCAGTCAAAGAACCGTCTCTTTCTTAGCTTTTTATAACCTGAAGAACCTTCTTTCGCCACAAAGAAGCTTTTGTGAAACAGAAAGGTTCTTCAGATGTTAAAGGCTCTTTATGGAACCATTTAGACAAAAAGGTTCTTCTATGGCATCACTGTGAAGCACCTTTATTGTTAAGAGTGTACTGGCAGATAATTGTTCTTATTTTAAGCAAAATGCCCTTCATTTAGTTTCCCCCCCCAATAAACAAGGCTAAATATCTTGTGTTGTTTACCAAGTAAATGCATCTTAATTTAAGACATTTTTGATATTTTGACTAGAAACAAGACAAAAATACTAAGAAAGATAAGCCTTTTTTTTGCAGTGCAGAGTCGTGTGTGTGTGTGTGTGTGTGTGTGAACCTTTAGCTTTTCAATTGAACACACTGTTGTTGAAGAAAAAACCTTGGAAGGCATAAAGAGTTTACAGTGTTTGATTCGAGCTGCTGAGCAGCGTGTGGATTAACAGTGAGCTGGACTTTTATCTCTCAATCCCACAGACGTCTTCAGATCAGCTGCAGTTCCCTGTGATCAGTGAGCAATCTTCTAGACATTAGGAAACTGATGACTGCATGTTACACGCTGGAGTTTACGCTGCGTCCGAGAACACAGAGAGCTCACTGAAGATGCTGCATCTGACCAAAAGTAGAAAAGATCCAAGCTATAAAACTAATTTAGGTTATAGAAACATGAATGTTTCTAACACATTAAAATGTCCAGTTTTCTTCTCGTGATTATTTGAAGGTTACACAAAAGTTTCTAAGAACGTTTTACTAGCTTTATTTTCACCCAAAATATATATATATATATTAATATTGTAGGAATGTTAAAATGTCCAGTTTTGTTGTTGTAATTAGAACATAGTTTTACAGTGACTAAGATGTTTCTTAAACATTCTACAAATGTTATTTCTACCCGAAATGTAACATTATTTGAACATGTATTTGTAATATTCTAAGAACATTGAAATGGTCAGGATTGTAACATTATTTAAAGGTTACAAAAACATTCTGCTAACTTTTTCACTCAAAATATGTTATTTGAATGTTCATTTTAATATTCTAAGAACAACGTTTTCTTGTTAATTATTTAAATGATATAAAAAACGTTTCTTGCAATGTTCAAGTACAAATTACAGCATAACGACATGTTTAGAATGTTGTAAAAAAGAATCAAATATTAATACATTTATATTTAGTCATTTAGCAGACGCTTTTATCCAACACGACTTACAAATGAGGACAATAGAAGCAATCAGAACCAACGAAAGAGCAATGATGAGTGCTATAACAAGTTAACCAGCATTGGTCCAAAGTTGACCGACGAGGCGTGTCCTGAAAATAATTCTATCGTAGTCACATTTGATTTGGAACTCTTTACACTTCTTCCCTTAAACTCAAAACTCATCTCAAATAGACGTCAGTGTAAACTCCAGTCTGTGAACAGCGCAGGGCCATATTCTCCTGCAGCTCTACAGTAGTAATGCTGTTTCTGTTCACGCAGATTAGCAGGATGTTTTGTGTCTCTAAAGAGCAGTTAGACCTCGTGTGGTTTCTTTCTTCTGTGGAGCAAAAGACGTTCTTAAGAAGATCATGCACTCTCTTTGACTGTAATGAAAGATGCTTAGGAATGGGACTGAAGAGCAGCATAAAATAACCCATAAAACCTAATAATAAGAGCAATATATAAATGATGTTTGCAGTAAATCAGTCATGGGATATTCCACTGATTGGTCTTGTTCAGCAGCTGCTCTGAGATCAGCGTGTGATGGTCTGTGAATCTGATCTCACAAACACTTCAACAATACATCATGCTTCTGTCTGAGATTCAGTTTCAGGGAAATAAAGTCATGATTGTTTTTCATGTTCATTAGGTGCCTAAAATGAGGTTGTTCCATGAACTGGTGCTAAACCGTATGTTTGCACAGACCTTCTGCAGGGAAACAAGTATTTCTGTATTCTCACTTGTTTTTGCTCATTTTTACCCGTGTATGTTTATACTGTTTCTATTAAATTCAGCAACAAAATACTCAGATGTCGTTTTTCATTCAGTTCAATCCGCTGACACAAATATTATACGAGTCATGCAGAACATTTCAGTTCATGCACTTCTCATTTCTCCAGCTCAGACTCGCGCCGTTCTTCATCTGCTTGTTCATTTCTCAGTGAGGGACAATAATAGCGTCACCACAAACAACTGCTCAACTGATTTAAAACTAGTCATCACAGTAAACCTACAATCTAGTCATGCAATCATTTGATCGTGATCACAAATCATCCTTAATCACATTACATCTCTCAATAACAGAATATTATTAGCAGCTTTTCAATGTTCTCCTTCCTCAGATAAATCTCCTGCAGTCTGACTGTAGTTGTGTTCAGTAGTGTGTGTGTGTGTGTGTGTGTGTGTGTGTGTGAGAGAGTGTGTGTGTGTGTGTGTGCGAGTGAGAGTGTGTGTGTGTGAGTGAGTGTGAGTGTGTGTGTGTGAGCACGTGAGTGTGTGTGTGTGTGTGTGTGGG